TGTTTTTTGTTTGTTTGTTTTTGGCATGATGGAGTTCCTTGTAGATCCTAGATGTTAGGCCTTTGTCAGATATAGAGTTGGCAAATATTTTTCCCCATTCTGTGGGCCATCTCTGCTGTCATGATGGTTTTTTGTTGTTGTTGTTTGGAGGATTTTTTTGCTTTGCAGAGGCTTTTTTAATTTGATGAAGTTCCACTTGTCTATCTTACCTCTTATGGCATCGGTATTTGGGGTTTTGATCAGAAATTGGTTGCCAGTTTCAATGTTCATCAGTGTGTCTCCTGCATTTTCTAAGTTTCTTATAGTTTGAAGTTTTATGTTTAGGTCTTTGATTCACTTAGAGTTGTTGATTTTTGTGTACAGTGATAGCTAGGCATCTTGTTTTAATCTTCTGCTTGTGGTCAGTCAGTTTTCCCAGCACCATTTACTGAATAAGTTTTCCTCTCCCCAGTGGTTGTTAGTGGAGGTTTTGTCAAAGATGAGTTGGTTGAGAAGCTTAGGTTTTGCTTCCAGAGTCTCTGTCCTGTTCCATTGGTCTATATGTATCAACACCAGGCTGTTTTGATTATTGTAGCCTTATAATAAAGTTTGAGGTCGGGAAGTGTGAACAGAGAATTGTTTTAGCTTTCATGGTCGTTTATGTTTTCATATGAATTTCTGTATTGTTGTTTCTAGGTCTGAGAAGAATGATGCTGGTAATTTAATGTGTATTGCGTTAAATCTGTAGATTTCCTTGGGAAGGATGAACATCTTAGATGACACAAACACATGGAAAAATATTTCATCCTGTACCAATACCAGGCTGTTTTGATTATTGTAGTTTTATAGTAAAGTTTGAAGTCTGGAAGTGCGAACAAAGGATTGTTTTGGCTATTCGTGGTCGTTTATGTTTTCATGTGAATTTCTGTACTATTGTTTCTAGGTCTGAGAAGAATGATACTGGTAATTTAATGGGTATTGCATGTAGGTTTCCTTGGGTAGGATGGACATCTTAGATGACACAAACAAATGGAAAAATATTCCATGCTCATGTATTGGAAGATGATCTCTTGAGTGCAGGAGCACAAGGCTTTAGTGCATGATGGTCATGCCTGTGAATAGCCTCTGCACACCAGCTTGGGCAACATAACAAGATCTACCTCTAAACAAACAAACAACAACAACAACAACAAAAAACTCTTCTGGGTTTATTTAGATCCCAGAACAGAGCCAGTTCTATACCAGCTATTTTTGTCAAGATGTCCATAAACTTATGACTTCAGTCCCCACTGCCTGCTAGCCCCAAAGCTGACTGCTTCAAAAGAGGTAAATGGGGTTGGATTTGGGATTGAAGTGGGGCAGGTAAATCAAATTCATGGCCTCCCTCTGCTCTAAAATTCTGAATTCTACTACTTTATTCATAGCCTCAGATGGTATGTCATAACTCTGTGTTATTTATCATGTGTTTAATGACATTATAGAAGAGACTTTTATTCTGGAAGCCTATCTTTTTTCTGCTCCATCATATGCGTAACCTCTTGGACCACACTACAGTTTTTAGGAAGTGTCCTTGTAAAATGCAGTTTGGACAAATAAGCTCTTCTAGGAGAGTTTATTGGTTTTGACAAGTAAAATTCTTCTGGGAGAGTTTATTTGTCCATATGCAAATCTCATTGAACAAAATGTGATTGATCTGAAATTCTTACACAAGACAGAAGCCAGTTAAAGTAGGACAGAGACCAAAAATAAGAGGGATAGCTAAAGGGAAGAAACAGGATCCAAGAATTAACTGTGAGTTATCAGTGGTACTGGAAAGTAGGCATGAAGATAACATGGAAATCGGAAGGCACATATAATCATAAAACCTTATTCTGGTCAGTAGTAACAACCTCCTCTTTTCATAAGTCATCTACTAGAGTTGCTGACAAGTAGTATTAGAAGAGATTATCCATTAAAGGGATCCATTCTGTTCCAGAAAATTAAAACAAGGAGGCATTCAGTAGAATCCAAATGGATGAAAGAAAATACTGTACCTTGTATTCACAGGTTGTAAAGTTAGTGCAAATATATGTATATTTACATTTAAACAGTCATTTGCCTTAAATGTTTGAGATCTGAATTATGTACACATGCTCTCTGTGGTTGAATTGCTTGATATTCAGTTTATCCTAATCGGCCTCTGGCAAAGAGAATTTGAATTATACAACATGTGTAAACCTCACATTGAATGGTAATTAGTTTGTGCTGTTCAGTGGCACTTAATGTTGAGGTTAATGGTTCAGTAAAAATTTTTAAAAGCCAGTGACTAGATCCTGTGTGTGTGTGTGTGTGTGTGTGTGTGTGTGTGTTTGTCTATAGAGATATATGTTTTTGTCCTCTTAACTCTGAATTTTCTTCTTAGGAGTAAAGTTGCCAGGCCATATGCTAGGTATATGATGAACTTCATAAGAAACTGCCAAAAAGTTTTCCAAAGTGGTTACACCATTTTATACTTCTGCCAGTAATGGATGAAGGTTTCAGATGTTCCACATAATTGCCAACATTTGGTAAAAGAAAAGAACATTTCACTTTAAGAAAAAAAAAAAAACTTTGAATGTTCTTAGCTTAAAGATTTTTGAGGTGGTACTTACAAAAAACGAAGGAACAAGAATGGTGTGTCACTTGACTGTACCAAGATTGTTGAGTGAGTAAAAAGGTAACAGTAGACATTAAATACCTATACAACACGGGGAGTAAACAGTTATAAAAAGTTGTACTTCTGGAGTTTTGTATCTAGTATAATATACATGTAATTAAGAAAATAACTTAAACTTTCTATGACATAAGAGGCTGTGTCAGATACTACTGTGTACTGTATTAAAAACCAGTTTGTTTTAAAGGATTTTAAAAATGGAAGGACTCTTTAGAAGTACTTTTTTTCTAGTGCTGCAGTGTTACTTTTTTAGTGCTTAGCATTCAAAATATGTTGGAAGATTAAAAATTGTGTGTTTTTAAAAGTTATATGTGTATACTTCATATAGGTTGAATATTAAATAGCAGTGCTTGTTCTAGAGCCAGAATTAGAATACTGCTCTCAAATTGCCAGAATTTAGTGAGTCAACAAACCAATTTAAAAAAAGACTCAAAGATTTTAGATTTCAAAATGTTCTTCCTTGTTTAGTTTGTCCATTATACTTTATTTTAATTATTCATTGTATTGCTTAATATGCCAGGAAATGTCTTATAATAGAATTTATAAAATAATGAAGTTTCAGTAATATGAATCCTATCTTCAGCATTCTGCTTTTGAATATGAGATTATGATATTTTATAGGGAATTATCCAGTTTGATGCATGAAAACATGTCTCTACTTACTTTATCCATTTTAGAGTTTTTAAACCAAATGTTCACTTGAAAAATAAATGAAATAATTTGGCGTATGTCATTTTGCTGTTGAACAAATAACACACACAATTTTGTAAAAAAAAAAAACCACAATAAATATATGTATTCCCATGAATATAGAACAATATGTTTTTCATTTTGGATATTACTTTCTGATGCTTATCCGTGTGTGTGTATGTATACACACACACACACACATTTTTGTGGGGTTTTTTTGGGATGTTGTGCATAGACTTAATAAGTAGTTTACTCATTTTAGTGAAAAGCATAGCCCCTGCCTACCATCTTTTCTGTGTCATGCTAGATATATTTGGGATATAAGATTGGTTTACTTTTCATTGGGCTTAAGTGGGTAAGTTAGAGGTGAAAGATAATAAGCAAGCCTGAAGATGTCAATTCTGGTTGAAAATTTGGACATTTATTTGTCTTTGGTCCCATTAGGAGGTGGAAGTAAGCAAGAAAGAGCTCTTCTTTTAGTATTGGTGTGGATTTTTGCATGTCCAGGATCTACCTCTGTTTCTTATTCTTACTACTGTATTAATGGTAGAGGTTCACAAATATGGTAAGTATGGACTTAGATTTTGTTCCTAAACAGAAATATTATATATAGGTTATATATTCTGATATGTTTATATGAGTGAAAATATTGATAACATTTAAAATGAAATAGGCAGCAGTTACCTCTTCTCATGATTTCACTACTTTAATTGCTAAAGACTTTCTAGTCCCTGTGATGGTTAGGTGAAATCTTTCTTCTGTTAGCTTTGTATTTTATTTTACTTTTCCTAGTGGGTGGGAGACATATTCCTTAACTGAAAAATGTTGGACAGAATAAAACATAATTACTTTTTATTCCAAATTCAGAATTATTTCATTTCTTTTTGGTGGGGAGGGTCTTGTGTTTCTTTATATTCCAAAGTCATTTAGAATGTAATATAACCTGGTCTCACTGCGTGAAGTTGGGCTATTTTCTGCCTCCTCCTTAATTGTGCTGAAGCTGGGTGCTGTTCCCCAAATCAACCTATGATCTGCCCCTGTTGTTTCAGCTAGTCTTCTCCCTTGTCTCACTGTCTTTTCATTCTTCCCTTCCTAGTAATCACCTGCTTCTCCTCTAGGACCTAACTCAGGTGCTAACCTCTCTAGGAATCTTTAAACGATTCTTCTCCCTGGGCCCCAACAGAATGAAAGAATCCCCTTCTTTGGGTTGTCCTAGCACTTGACTGGTGGCTCTGAGGACAGCCACCCGTCATAGACATGTCCTAGGGATTAAGAGCAGGAGACCGCTGTCATCCATCTCTGTATCTTCTAGGACAGGACAAGCAGCTGTGAACATCTGTCGGATGGAGACGTTTTAAAACTCTATGCTTCTGGTGATTCAGGAAAGAGTCTGCCACTTCACGAAATTCTTTGAGAGTCCCCCCGCCCCCTTTTGCAGTGTTTTTTTGCCTTCACTCTTCCCACCTGTTACCTTGAGACTGTCGGTGTATCTTAAAATATTGGGGGGGATTTTAGAAATGTCTTGAGAACAATCAGAGAGGGATCGTGGGGTGTAGCATTCACTCCAGGAGACGGGCTTGGGGCTGTTTCTGCTGCTGCTTCGTTCTGAGGGCTTCATCTTCCTCTCCCCTCTTTGCAGGACCCTAACAGGAGTGTCCACACCACCAGCAGCAGCAGCAGCAGCGGCAGCAGCGGGAGTAGCAGCAGCAGCAGCAGCAGTAGCAGCAGCGGCGGCAGCAGCAGCAGCAGTGGCAGCAGCAGCAGCAGCAGCAGTAGCAGCAGTAGCAGCAGTGGCAGCGGCAGCAGCAGCAGTTTCTCGAAGCCTCACAAGTTAACGAAGGAGCACAAGGAAAAACCTTCTAAAGACTCCAGAGAACATAAAAGTGCCTTCAAAGAACCTTCCAGGGATCACACCAAACCTTCCAAAGAATCCTCTAAGAAACCCAAAGAGAATAAACCCCTGAAAGAAGAGAAGATCGTTCCTAAGATGGCCTTCAAGGAACCCAAGCCCCTGTCAAAAGAGCCAAAACCCGACGGCAGCTTACTCACTATCACCAGTGGACAAGAGAAGAAGGCTCCCAGCAAAAGGCCGCCCGTTTCCGATTCCGAAGAACTCTCAGCCAAAAAAAGGAAAAAGAGTAGCTCGGAGGCTTTATTTAAAAGTTTTTCTAGCGCACCGCCCCTGGTACTCACCTGTTCTGCTGACAAAAGACAGATAAAAGATAAGTCTCACGTCAAGATGGGAAAGGTCAAGGTCGAAAGCGAGACACCGTCGGAGAAGAAGAAATCGACTTTGCCGCCGTTTGATGATATTGTGGATCCCAATGATTCAGATGTGGAGGAGAATATGTCCTCTAAATCTGATGTGAGTATTCCTGCCGGCTTTCCTTCTTTTCCTGGTTCTCAGATTTTATTTCAGAACAATTTTGTAATAAAGAGTGAGAGAAGAGAACGAATGCTGAGTCGTCAACTTGTAGCGTGGAAATTGATGCGCACTTCTTTAATTAATGGGGAGAAGGAAATGAAATCATTGTGGAATCTGCAGATTTTTCAGGCTGTTATTTAAGTTGTTAAGAGAAAGATATTGTCCTTAGTATAATAATGGGTCATCTACATAGCAGCGAAAAAATTAGGTGCTCATTAAAACTTGGTTACTAAGGTCTTCAATGATTGATGATTTAGAAAAATGAGAACATGATAAAACTTGAATACAAGGGAAAATAAGTTTAAAAGAGAAACTTACAAAATATTGGAGCTGTAATGTTGATATTGATGTTTTGATCTTTGGAATGAAGTAATTTATTTGTTTACATAGATGAAAAGCTGGTGAAAGTTTTTGTTTGTTGGTTTTTTGTTTTTGTTTTTTGTTTTGAGTTGGGGGTCTCACTCTGTCGACCCAGGCTGGAGTACAGCGACACGATCACCGCTCACTGCAGCCTCAACCTCCTGGGCTCGGGTGATCCTTCCACCTCATCCTCCCAAGTAGCTGAACAGCTGGGACTACAGGCACATGCCATTACAGCCAATTTATTTATTTAGAGACAGGGTCTTGCTATGTTGTCTAGGCTGGCCTCAAACTCCTGGATCCAAGCAATCCTCTCGCCCTGGCCTCCCAAAGTGCTGGGATTGCAGGCATGAGCCACCATACCCGACCAGTGATAGCATTTTTTAAACAACAGTTTATTGAGGCAAAATGACATAACGATATACTATACATATTTAAAATGGATAATTTGATAAATTTTAGCATTTGTGTGTACCTGTAAAATCAGTTTACAATATTTAAAGAAGGACATATTTAATTTTTCCTACATTGTTTAATGACTGATTTGGAGAGGATGTGAGTAGGTGATCTTCACTACAAGTTTTTGCTGATGGGTAGGATTATCCTTTGTAGATGTATAAAGGAGCATCCGACCATCTAATACCCACAAAAGGCATTATTAATGTTTGATGTAGGGGTTTAAACTTATAATTACAGATTTTGGGAGTTGGAAGGGATTTTCAAGTTATTTATTCTAACCTCTTAACAATGTAGGAACTCTTACACTTCCTAGTAGCAAGGTCATTAGTAATTCAAAAAATATTGATAATATTTCTGAAGAATAAACATTATTTACTGTGAAGTTATCACCTTGTCACTTTTCCTTTTTTTTTTTTCCTTCCAGTTTTGACCTTTTTCAGTTACTTTTTAGTGAACAATTCCAATAATCTCCTTAGTTTGGCTTGTCATTCTTTCTAGATAATGGTCAAGGGAGATGTCTGGCTAAAAATTGCCAGCAATTTTAAAATACTTTTCTTCCTGTCCCATGGGTTGCCCACAGATGTTTCCAGTTTAAATGCTGGCAAAGAATAGGAGGCCTTAGTAGCAGACTCCCTGTTTCAGTTTTTTGCACTGTTCTGTGAAGAAAACCTGCCAGGTTTAGGACATGATGCCAATACTGATCCCCAGTGGTCCAGATTCTGCCTCCTTCCCCTCACTCTATATATAGCTGATCTTGAAATTTAAATAGAAGGAGGAGCAGAGTAGCATATAAAACATTGGAGATCATGTTATTTGTTCCAGTAATTGGTAAAGACTTTATGGTCATAGTTTATAAAATGGAGATGAGAATTGAATGGGTTTGTTTCAGTGTCTCAAGTATTTATTTATCCTTCTCTGCTTCTTACCTGTCCTTAATTCGAAATTTATTCTTAATGTAAATGTTACTTGGATCTTTTTTTGGTATATTTGACTTTTGTTTCAGATCATCCTGAAATGCTGTTGGGTTGTGATTAGTCTACCAAAATTGTCAAATTTAGCATCTTGGTAGGTCTATATTCTGACATGTTGCAATTCTCTGGCATAGAGGCTTTCAACTTGTGGGTTTTGATTTATTGGTGAACTATGAAATCAATTTAGCATGCCATCACTAGAATTTAAAAAATCAGAATACCTTGTAGTTAGTATGGGTAAGTAATGGCCTATGAAAATTTTATTTCAGAGGGGCTTTGTTCTTTTAGGGATCAAAATATTGAAAGGCACTATTTAGAATGTGGTTGATTTGTGAGAAGACCAAGTGACATTCATAAAGCACTACTGAATGTTCTTTCCACATGAAACTATCGCAGATAATCTTCCCTCTTAGAAAACTTTGTTTGTTCTTCTTTCATTTGCCTGTTACCCCTTGCATTTATATATGATTTATAAAATATGGCTTTCTTTTAATAAATTCTTGGTCAACTTGGTGTTTGTATCCAAAGCAGTATCTTGAAAAATCTTCTGAAATTAAGAGTTAAAATTGGAATTCCTTACAGTAGGTAATAAATTTTTCAAATGGCACATGGCATATTAGAGCCACAAATCTAGTGATTACAGCAGGAATTTTTGTAATGTGCATAACATTACAGAAAAAAACCTTTAAAGACTTTCAGGTATTGTTTGAATATAAAACCAAACAATTATACTTTTCTTATTAGTCTTCTGGCAATAGTAATGTTTTTACTGTTGCTGCTGTTGCTTTAATTCTTTAAATGTAAGTGATGTAACAGAGCAGTTGACAAAAGTGGTGTTGCCTAAGCCATGTGCCCAAAGGCCTTTCTATGAGTGAAAGGAGATGAGAGAGAACTGAAATTCTATTTATCCACTAGTAAAGATAGCGTTTTGTTTGGATTGTCTCTTACCTGGATTCCCTTCCGTAGTCAAAACAGAAGGAATAGGAGGCACTTGTAGTGGAGAGCACTAAGCAGCCCATAGCCTCTCTTGGCTGATGACTGATTTGGTAAATTGCGGCAGGCCCAACTTCAGGGGCACTGTTCACATCATCCTGCTTGTGAGCAGGTCTGCTTTTGAATAAGTGCGATCAGATGACCTGATCTCTCTAAACTCCTTTCTAGTTTCATTGAATACAAAACAGATTTATGTTTGTTTATAGGGGATGGGATGGTGAGTAATTTTAGACATAGCAGACAGAGATCATGGACTTAGGAAACAGAAAAAAGACACGCACACACACACAATCAGAAGAGTTTCAAGGAATTAAGAAGGCTGGAGAAAATGATTATTCATTTGGTATGTACATAAAGAAACATCTTCCCTCAGTACAGGTTTGTTACAGTTAAGGAAGAATGTTTTAAGGACACTTTTCCATAATCAAGTTAGATTCAGGTTTTAGTTTTAAATAATGAGTACTATTAAGATAGATTAGGAAATTTATATTGTTGATTGATATGGCTCTTTTTGGTAAAAATTTTTATTTACCACATATGTAAGACGAGAGAAAGAAGATAGACATGTGTGGTTTGTATGCTTGTGTGTCTTCTGAGGGATCGCTTATTTCTTGATAAGTAAAAGCTTGTAGGTAGGTAATGAGGAGTTGGCTTTCCATCTGATGTCAGACAGGCTATGTTTTGAAGCTGAGTGCTGCCAGTGATCTTTGGCAAATGATTTAACCTTCTCTGTTTCTTAGTTTTTTCTTTTGTAAAATGAAGATGATAGTAGTATCTTCTTTGTAGGATAAGTGTGACTATTAAGTCATTCTGGTTAAAGCAGTTACCAGGATGATTTTTTAAAATGTTAGTTAGCCATTGTTATATAAAACTTGACTTCTGAGACCTTTTAAATTTAAAAGAAATGTTTTGCTATTTAAAAATACTGCAGAACTCTAGTGTCCTTTTTCAAATGTGTGGGTTTATTTGCTTTAAGGGAGGGGGTAGTTGTAGTGTGTCACTTTTCCCTAAATTTTGTCTTCAGGAGGTATACAGACTTGATATTGGTCTGCCTGTGTTACATGATCAGTGTAAAGATGCAAAGAGTCTAAGTTTTGAATCAAAATTTAAGCCAAAGTTTCTCAAGATCTTTCAGCTTTTTAATTAAATGAATCAAAGTACCTGAACACATGGAACACTGTGTTGGGCAGGCACTTGGTAATTTTTTAAAAATTGCTGTTACTGTTAAAAACATCCTAAGAAACGATTTCTCTTTGAGTTACTGTTAATATAGCCAGAAGAGTAATTTTAAAATATGTTCTGTGATTCTGGAACTATTTCTCATCTTATAAAGAAATCTAACACTGTCACATGGAAGTTCATTAATAATTTTCGCCTGCCGGAGAATTTGAGGAGGGTGAGTGGGATAGGGTAGGGAGGCAGAACAGTTTTATAATGGGTGAGCATTTAGCAAATACAGAAAGTATGTTAAGGGAATGTTTTTGTTAAGGATATTTCTTGTCGAGAGCCTAGATAATGCCCATTAAAGTTTTCTTGGCTTAGCAGTTCATCTCTTTGTTGGTATAATGGTCCATTCTATTTACTGATTAGTAAGTGACTGTTATTACTGGAGACTGACACTAACTAGCAGCTAGAAAGGGTGAGGGGTCTGAGTGTATCAGTTCAATAAAAGTTTATAATTGTTTTTATTAACCTGTTTGAACGTTAATTGATAATAAAAAGAGCTCGAGTGTTTTTCACTCCTTCTGCAATTCCCCAGTTTTTGTTTGTTTTTCATATAACTCTGCTTCTAATGAGAAGTATGTAGAGTGGATCTTGTTTTGTGATTTGAAGCAGTTCAGTATTCGTAACAGAGAAGGAGGCAAAAATAATACATGGAAATTGAAAGAGCCATTTATGATTGATCGGTTAGGGGAGTAATTTTCTTTTCACTGCCTTCCTCTTTTTGTCTTTGTAGAATTAGTCATAATTAAAATTTCCTTAAAAAATGGACAAATGGCACTTTGTAAAATGTGACGTACTTCAGCATGCAACGTGAGAAATGAGATTTCAGTTACGTCCTATGATAGTTTTGGCTTACCAAAGGGTTTCCCTGGAAAAAACCTTTCTGAGGAAGAAAAGCAAAGTCTCATCAGGTGGCCACGTTTTTTCCCAGGG